CTCTTAATAGGGGCAGTTCCTATAACAAGGGACAACAGCCACAAATTGTGGCTTGAAAGGTTGAGAAAATTTTTTTTTGTGATTGGGTAATCACTGCCTGTGCAGTCAGTAGACTGCTCCTACACAGCACAAAGTTTTTAATCAAGAGCTGATGTTTTTCTAGGAATTACACTTTGGTTCAAAAAGAATTAGATTCAGAGAAGTCCTACATAATGCACAGGATATATAAAACACACTTTTCAGGTCATTAAAACAAAACAAAAACAAAACAAAACAAAACAAGAGAATCCATATGAATATAGCTATTAACCTAGAAAGAATTTTGTTCAATAGGCTGATAGTGTATTTGCTCTTTGGAGCCAAGTAAATGAGGGGATTAAGACTGATATCATCTAAAAACAAATCTTGGAGAGACCTAGAATTTTTCAAGGTTCTCTCAGTAAAAAGAAACACTGCTCTCCACTAGAGTTTTCAGATAATAAACAGTAAATATTGAGCAAATAACGTGCTTAGAAAAAATAAAGTTCACATCAAAAATAGATATTCAGAGGGGTGGGGCAGAGTTTCAGACAGGCTGTGCATGACAAAAGAAATCTTAAGAAAAACCCAAAAAATAAAAAAACAAAAAACTAAGACTGGTTGCCTAAAAGAGGTCTGAAGATATATTTTTGCTCTCTGTTACAGAGTAAGTAAAGCATACTCCTCTTTTCAAGGGTATTCTCTAATTATATTTAAGTGAAGGTAAAGTCTTCTGAATAATTCTTTGTCAAGCACAGTAGACCGCATCAAGCTCTTTTAGATATATTTTCAAATTTGAAAGAAAGAGTGTTTACATATACAAAACTATTACGGTTTAACTCAGCTGATACCTCTGTTTTCATCTGGCTACAATTTTTCCAAATAAAGCATCAACTTATGCAGTAAGTGTAGCAGACAGTAAATTGGCTTTTAAATTCTGAAAGGATATTAGTAAACGAGGACGGCTTATCTTCTATATAGCTCTTATAGCTGGTACCTTTTTTGAAACAGCTTCAACAAGCAGCACAGAGTGTTACAGTGTTAACGAGCCCTTAATACTTTCAACACTGTTACAGATGTGTTTCAAAATAGGACTCTGGAGCATGTCTGTCTTCTCCACTTTGAGCCCCTTTCTCCACACCTCCTTTCATGCATTAAGGCAGTCA